ACCCGAAATCCAAATGTCTTTTCTGGAGCTATTACTCCTGGAATTGGTTGGTGGTGACGCCCCTGCTCATTTTGGTTAGTGGTTAGTGTCACTCAATGTACGTCCGGAAAATATGCATTTGTGTAACGTCATTGCCAACGTCATTGCTTTGTTTACTGAGCACATTTTTTTATATCGGGTAAATTAAAATTTTGCTGACGTTTGGACCTTGTCAAACTTTGCACGTTGTCAAGCTATGGATGTTGCCAAACTCTGGATGTTTCAAAACTTTGGTTGTTATCAAAGTTCTGGATGTTGTCAAACTATGTATACTACGTTGTCAAACACTGGATGTTGTCAAACTCTGGATGTTGTCAGACCCTCGATGTTGTCAAACGTTGGATGTTGTCAACCTCTGGATGTTGTCAAACTCTCGATGTTGTTAAACTCTCGTTGTTGTCAAATTTTGGCTATGGTCAAACCCTGGATTCTATGTTGTCCCACTGTGGATGTTGTCCCACTGTGGATGTTGTCCCACTGTGGATGTTGTCCCACTGTGGATGTTGTCCCACTGTGGATGTTGTCACACTGTGGATGTTGTCAAACGTTGGATGTTGTCACACTGTGGATGATGTCAAACCCTCGATGTTGTCACACTGTGGATGTTGTCAAACCCTCGATGTTGTCACACTGTGGATGTTGTCAAACCTCGATGTTTTCACACTGTGGATGTTGTCACAATGTCGATGTTGTCACACTGTGGATGTTGTCACACTGTGGATGTTGTCAAACCCTCGAGGTTGTCACACTGTGGATGTTGTCAAACCCTCGATGTTGTCACACTGTGGATGTTGTCCCACTGTGAATGTTGCTAGCTTCTTGTTTCCACTCCCGCCACAGGCCATCGTGACCTTCGAATGCTTCCAGTACAAACCCGTCATTTCGGAGGCGTACCCGCTGTGGGCCGAGATCCTCGGGTGGTTGGTTGTCGGCTTCATCCTGCTGTGGACGCCTGTGTGGTACATAGTCGTCTTTCTCTGCAGCTGGCGTGGGAATGGCTATAAAGATGCATGCCAGGTAATCTGTTGGTTCCTTTCTCTACAGTTGGCTTGGGAGTTGCTACAATAATGTGTGCCAGGTAATCTGTTGGTTCCCACAGGTATTGAGTCTTTCTCTGCAGTTGGCGTGGGAGTGGCTACAATAATGTGTGCTAGGTAATCTGTTGCTTTCAACAGGTATTGGTTTACGGGCCGAAAAAAAGGAGGGGACAATTTGCAATACTATTTTTTTTCTTTTAGCCTCGCTGTAATAGATATACACAACTGTATGTTTTGGGGGGGGGGGGTTTCTTGTAATCACTATTTTTTTTTTTAATATTTGCTTTAATATATTTCAGGAAATTTTTGCCAAAATAAATGGCACTCAAAATAAAAACAATATTTTTTTTCAACAGGTATTGGTTTACGGGCCGAAAAAAAGGAGGGGACAATTTGCAATACTATTTTTTTTCTTTTAGCCTCGCTGTAATAGATATACACAACTGTATGTTTTGGGGGGGGGGGTATCTTGTAATCACTATTTTTATTTTTAATATTTGCTTTAATATATATCAGGAAATTTCTGCCAAAATAAATGGCCATCAAAATAAAAACAATATTTTTGAACGAAATATGATTAGTGGTTCCTACAGTAACATAACATAATATGACATGAAAAGTTACAAAAGTATTATTGAAAATATTACACGAACAAGTACATGAAAATCATAAATTGTGACAAGAAGTATGACATGAATTCTGAAATTATATACTACATGAATTCTAAAATTAAATATGACACGAATTCTGGCGTTAAATATGACTCGAATTCTGACAGTAAATTACATCATAAAATAAGATCTTTAATTGTGCCATAAAAAAAATGCTAAAATACACAATGACCAGGTTTGTTCCAAACGAATCGCAGGTTTTCTACGCCGTAAATCAACCCACGGAGAGATGGGGGCCGAAGCTGGAGGCGAACCGTGTCGTCATCCGTTACCAGACCCACAGAAAGTCGTCCGTGCACAGCTCGGGGATCAGCGGCCTGGAGATCCAGCCACCACCGGCTTACTCCATGCACTCTGGCCTGACGTCAGAGGCAGCAGGGAGCGGACTCCAGCTTAAAGACTCCGATCTTACGTTTTAGTGGTGTAATTCACGAGATCGGGTTGTTTTTTTATTTTTATTTGGGGGGGGGTGGATCGAGTTGGGGAGGAGGGGGGGGGGGGGGGGGGGGGGGGGGGGGGGGTGGTGAGGGAGGGGTGGGGGGGGGGGTGTGGGGGAGGAGGTTGTGATGAATGAATTGGGACAAACGAGTGATGGAGGAGTTAGGTTAAAATTTAGACGGTGGTGTGACAAGGAATTAATCGAAATAAGAGAATATATATAGAGATAACCTAACCAAAATATTTAAGGTTAAACGAAGCAACGAATCTGTAAGGCATATGCATGTTAGGTTCGTAAAATATCATATTGGACCGTTTATAAATTTAGAGTCTGGAGAAAAACAACAAAGTGAAATGTTACATGCTACAGACATATTTCATATGTGGTTGTGCTGCTTTGAGTGTTGTGTGTATGAAGGTATATATGTAGTGGAGCCCGGACTGGATGGATTGCTTCAAACTATGAAATGTTGATGGTAGAATATGGAAGAAAATGGAAGTGTATCCTTGTTTGTTCAAGGTTTTCAAAAAAACCATCGCACGACGCCTTCGTATTTAGAGTGTACCGTGACTTGGTACGTAGAGTGTACCGTGACTTGGTACGTAGAGTGTACCGTGACTTGGTACGTACAGTGTACCGTGACTTGGTACGTAGAGTGTACCGTGACTTGGTATTTAGAGTGTACGGTTACTTCGTATTTAGAGTGTACCGTGACATGGTACGTAGAGTATACCGTGACTTGGTATTTAGAGTGTACGGTTACTTCGTATTTAGAGTGTACCGTGACATGGTACGTAGAGTGTACCGTGACTTGGTATTTAGAGTGTACGGTTACTTCGTATTTAGAGTGTACCGTGACTTGGTACGTAGAGTGTACCGTGACTTGGTACGTAGAGTGTACCGTGACTTGGTACGTACAGTGTACCGTGACTTGGTACGTAGAGTGTACCGTGACTTGGTATTTAGAGTGTACGGTTACTTCGTATTTAGAGTGTACCGTGACATGGTACGTAGAGTATACCGTGACTTGGTATTTAGAGTGTACGGTTACTTCGTATTTAGAGTGTACCGTGACATGGTACGTAGAGTGTACCGTGACTTGGTATTTAGAGTGTACGGTTACTTCGTATTTAGAGTGTACCGTGACTTGGTACGTAGAGTGTACCGTGACTTGGTATTTAGAGTGTACGGTTACTTCGTATTTAGAGTGTACTGTGACATGGTACGTAGAGTATACCGTGACTTGGTATTTAGAGTGTACGGTTACTTCGTATTTAGAGTGTACCGTGACTTGGTACGTAGAGTGTACCGTGACTTGGTATTTAGAGTGTACGGTTACTTCGTATTTAGAGTGTACGGTCAGTTGGTATTTAGAGTGTACGGTCAGTTGGTATTTAGAGTGTAAAATTGCGATTAAAAATACTCATCGAAAACATCCGCTCCGTCTGTCTTGATTTGTCTGTTGTCCTCGTGCACCGAGTGGTTTGAGAAGTCTTTGTTGTCCTCGTGCACCGAGTGGTTTGAGAAGTCTTTGTTGTCCTCGTGCACCGAGTGGTTTGAGAAGTCTTTGTTGTCCTCGTGCACCGAGTGGTTTGAGAAGTCTTTGTCTGACCCCCGCAAGGGACCGCATCTCATCAACTTTCCAGACCTTTTCACGATTCATCGCAGCAACGCCTCATCTTTACAGTACCTCACTTACAATATGCCCCATTCCCCCTGGACACACCGAGCAGATTGTTACAGGGTGAGGCATAGACACATCATTTGTGTATTTAATCAAACACATCCGGGGATTAACTTTCCAAATAATCATCTTACGTTACGGAAACCGTTGGCTGGTTAAGATTTTAGTGAGTGGGTGAGGTTAGAGAGTAGGTGAGCTTAGAGAATAGGTGAGGTTAGAGAGTAGGTGAGCTTAGAGAATAGGTGAGCTTAGAGAGTAGGTGAGCCTAGAGAGTAGTTGAGTTTAGAGAGTAGGTGAGCTTAGAGAGAGGGTGAGCTTAGAGAGTAGGTGACGCTAGAGAGTAGTTGAGCTAGGGAAGTAGGTAAGCTTGGAGTAGGTGAGGTTAGAGAGTAGGTGAGCTTAGAGAGTAGGTGACCTTAGAGAGTAGGTACTTTAAAGGGTAGGTGAGCTTGGAGAGTAGGCGAGCGTGAGCTTAGAACACAGCGCTATAAAGTCTTGAAAAACCGGGTACAATTAGTCTCCAATGTTGTGCATGGCTCGCACGATCTCGTCCCCTCAGTTTTGCAATTTACGCAAACATAAACCACCATGTGTGTTCCGGCATGCCTTAGATACACTCACGAGTACTCTGAGAAAGTAATACACTGTATTTGACTGGGAGCGTCATTTTTAAAAAAATTTATGGAGGGCGGGGGGGTCGTCATTAAAATGAATACATTGACAGTGGCTTATGAAACAAGACCCCAAGACCAAGCTATCATTATATCATTATCCACTTGAAGTCTAATTTCACCAGAACACATTAGCAGCGCCCTAAAGCCAAACCTAGTCTTCGGGCTATGGACGGATCTCTCAGGCAGCTCTCATTGCAAATACGTTTGAGTTTTTTCTATAGTTTTGTTAGTCATTGTTCGTAGCATTCGCTGAAAAAAGGCTTCTTGAAATAAGCACATACGCATGGGCGACAGCAGAAAAATTTCTAGAGGGGGGGGCAAAAAAAATCGATTAACTTTCCAGGGGGGGGGCAAAATTTTTTTATTAATGTTTTAATATGGTTTTAATGTACTGTAGCGTATTTGTATGGTGAACGAAAGGACAGGACATCAGTTTAGTTACTTTCTCTTTATTTTCTCTTTACTTTAATACATTTTTTGTCTATTTTTGTCTAAAATGGTTTTATCCAATCAATCCGTGGGGGGGGGGGTAAGTGCCACACCTTGCCCCTACCTGCGGGCGCCCATGCACACACACACACACACCTATTCGATCACCTGTAATCGAACAGTTCTGGTGGGGTTTTATCGTAGCCAAACATGTCAAAATCTAGCTGGAACATTTTCTGAACTTTTTTCAAAACGGGCGTGGACACGCTCATGTATCCTTGAACAAGGGCGGCTTTTTTCTGGTCGACGTAAACTTTCCTCTCGGCGAGACGCCTCCATTTTGTGTACGTGTCCGTGCAGACGTCAAAAAAGGCACGCGGCGTGAAGTCGCGCCTCTGAAGGAAACATTTTGGTATTTTCACGTCTGGCGGTAGGTGGCCGTTGTACTGAAAAGCCCGCCACAGACGTTGGTAGAGTTCACCAACCGGGAAACACCCCTGTAAGGGGCCGAAAGCAAAAAAGGTCAACTTGTTGACATTGGAAAACATTGACAACTTTTAAATGTGTTTTTATTTTTAACTTATTTATTTTTTAATACGATTTTCTTATACTTTAACAAAAATAATTTGAATAGCATCATTTTTATCTTATTAAGGAGGAAAACAGAACAACCCAAAAGAAAGCATAGCTGTCACGTGACGAGACCAGTGCACATCCAGTCACCCGAGCAGTTTTAAATCGTGGCGCCACTATCTCCTAACCAAAAATAATTTAGAAAAAGGTGCTGCTGGAGACCTCTGAAGACACGAGTTCTAAAATAACCATATTAACACTTATACTCTTAAAATGCGTATAAACAAGGAGACGTCTTTATTTTTTGGATTTTACATACAACATTAATTAAACAACGCCCTAAAATTGTATAATTAGTTCATTTATATGTTCTACGTTCAGCTGCTGTGTTTGTGAAAAGAAACATCAACGAAGATTTGACCAAGAGCATAATATTCTTCATTGACAAAACTTTTTCAGTATTTTAATCTTTGTGTTGGGCTCAAAATAAATTCGGCGCCCCCCCCCTTTTCCCCTACCCCACATGGCCTGACTTTGCCTGTAACTAAGGCCTGAACTGATTGGTCTCATGGGCTGAAAAAAAAGTCGCACCATAGCATGGAGCGATGTCCTTTATTTTAAAAGGCACGTGATATTGACAATGTAAAAGACTAAGTAAGTATTCAGTGTAGAAGCACTTGTGTAGTGGAGATTTTTTTAAAAATGCTTCCGTAAATAAATTCAGCGTTTAAGTTTTCCCATCTATTGAGTCAGAGCGTTGCCCGTTGAAACAACAACAACAACGAAATCCATCATATACATTTTCCCGAAAATTTTTAACAATATAATATCGTGCTGTTAATACCAAGGGATGCGTCTCTTCGAATATGTTATTTAAGCTATTGCAAAATTTGATTCCGTCATTAGCAACGGGCTGTTCCCAGTCTCTCTTATCAAATAGCAACTAACTCACTGCCACGCCCTTTACTCAAACTTACATATTTATTTTCTTGCTGCCACCCCCCCCCCCACCAAACCGAATCAATTCAGTATGCAAAAATAATTAAAAGCATCCTTACATTGAAATGTGTCTTGTACACCAACCACGCGTCGTAGTGGTACTCAATCAACATGCTCATCTCAAGGACTTACATTGAGATGTGTCTTTTACACCAACCACGCGTCATAGTTGTACACAGTCAACATGCTCATCTCAAGGACTTACATTGAAATGTGTCTTGTAGTGGTACTCAATCAACATGCTCATCTCAAGGACTTACATTGAGATGTGTCTTTTACACCAACCACGCGTCATAGTTGTACACAGTCAACATGCTCATCTCAAGGACTTACATTGAAATGTGTCTCGTACACCAACCACGTGTCGTAGTTGTACTCAATCAACATGCTCATCTCACGGAGTGACCTGTCGTCGACTGGATGTGCACTGGTCTCGTCACGTGACGTGTTCGTTTGGGCGCTAAGCACCCAGGTCAGATTCGCAGCTTCCAGAATCGCTCTAAACATAATAGAAAAAGTGGAGTGGAGTCAGGTTTGTCAAATAAAAAAAAAAAAATATATATTTAACTAACTCAAATCAATCCATATACAAGAAGAATGCAAAGTTCTAAAATAAGAACAGTTTTAAACAAACTATCAAAAACAGAAGAAAAAAAAGTTTTATACACCGCTTACCCTTTGGAATGTTATAGAACACCCCTTAATAACCCTTTGGAATGTAATAGAACACCCCTTAATAACCCTTTGGAATGTTATAGAACACCCCTTAATAACCCTTTGGAATGTTATAGAACACCCCTTAATAACCCTTTGGAATGTTATAGAACACCCCTTAATAACCCTTTGGAATGTTATAGAGCACTCCTCAATAACCCTTTGGAATGTTATAGAACACCCCTCAATAACCCTTTGGAATGTTATAGAACACCCCTTAATAATAATTTCAATAGTTTTGCACCCCTCCCCCCCTCCCCCCGCTAATTACTAAATTTTTTGGAATGTTATAGAACACCCCTTAATACCCCTTTCGAATGTTACAGAGCACTCCTCAATAAACCTTTGGAATGTTATAGAACACCCCTCAATAACCCTTTGGAATGTTATAGAACACCCCTTAATAATAATTTCAATAGTTTTGCACCCCTCCCCCCCTCCCCCCGCTAATTACTAAATTAGTCTGGCAAACCTTGCAAATTGTCTCAAATCCCCCCCCCCCAACCCACACACCTTAAAAAAAAAAACAACCCTAAAACATCTATGTATCTTAAAGGCTAATGCAGTGCTTCCCAAACCTTTAATGCTGACGGCACGCAGATTTAGAAGTTCGTCATCTAGCGGCTGGGTGAGTCAGTTTTGAAATATTCTAACGGGAGTTCAACAAACCCATTTAAAAAAAAAAATCCTTTCTGCTAACGGGAGAAGTGTCGTAAAGATTAACTGAGGTCTCGGGGCTACTCTCAGGGCTACTCTCAGGGCTACTCTCAGGGCTACTCTCAGGGCTACTCTCAGGGCTACTCTCAGGGCTACTCTCAGGGCTACAACTGAATCAGTTGATGTCACTCGGATATTAAAAGAACGCATTTCTTCTTTACAAAACAAAACAAAAAAACAACAAAAAAACAAAAAAACTGGACTTTTGAACCACGCTTTCTTTGATGGTGCGGCACACAAGCGAACCACAGAAAACCCGTTACACAGCACGCAAGTGTTATACAGAATGTGAGGGTCTACACAGCATGCGAGTGTTGCACAGCCTGTGAATGTTGCACAGCCTGCGAGTGTTAAACAGTCACACTGTTAGCGCTCACGTACCTGGAGTCTCTGGCGAAAGTTTCCATTTTGCCTAGGACGTGAGGTCTGAACAGACAAGGGTCACAAACATATTTGTAGGGCGCCCAGTGGTCGTTTAGGGTCCCGGGGTTTTCCAAAAAGGTGTCGCTGGTAAAGTAAATGAAGAACAAAAAAAAGAAGACTAAAAAAAAAAAAAAATGAACAGAGAACATATTCGTCTGAAAAAAATTGTTAATGGAACATTAAGATGTAAAGGCAAAATTGTCTATAGAACTATAACTGAAAATTTATATTTTAGATATATTTTTTTATATATTTATAGATATCCTACTTATTTACATAACATAAATATAATGTAATTTTAAATTATGCAAATGTGTATGAAAGATGGCTGGGTACGCCTAAAATAGAAGACGTAACGGATACATTTCAAAGGCCTTTAATTGTGTTTTTTTTGTTTTGAGGATTTAATAGATCAAAACCTGGTACAGTTAAGAATGCGTAAAGAATGGATTTTTAAGTGCTGAGACTTCGCAATAGCAGGTGGAATATAGCGCAATAGGCTTTTCATTATTACCCCGGTACCATCGGGTTATACCTTCTAGTATACATATATTTATATATACACGTGAAGTGACCACTGAGAATTGTGCTCAACGTACATAAATCAGACTGTTTTTTTTTGTTTTTTTGTTAATGAGAACTCACGTTAAAAACTGCTCGAATGAAATGTTCTTGGGGCACGCTTTCTCTTCAGCTGTTACCATAAAAGTAAAATAGAATAACATAGAAGTACGTCTTTGATACAGCTCATTTGAAGCAATTACAATGTGATACTAGTAATGACCTGTTAGCAAAAGTCAGTTTTAAAAAAATTATAAAAAACAACAACAATATAATTATTGTGAATTATAGAAAAAAAAAATTATGTAACGACTTTTTAAAACAAATATTCCCATTGAATGGCCTTTTAGAAAAAAACCAAAAAAACATTATTGCTCAGTATTAACAAATAAGTTATGAAATTAATTAAATTAAAATAAATAATATTTAAGTAAAGAACACAACACCATAATCTCATGTGACAGAAAACAACACCATAATCTCCTGTAATAGAAAACAACACCATAATCTCCTGTAATAGAAAACAACACCATAATCTCCTGTGATAGAAAACAACACCATAATCTCCTGTAATAGAAAACAACACCATAATCTCCTGTAATAGAAAACAACACCATAATCTCCTGTGATAGAAAACAACACCATAATCTCCTGTGATAGAAAACAACACCATAATCTCCTGTAATAGAAAACAACACCATAATCTCCTGTAATAGAAAACAACACCATAATCTCCTGTAATAGAAAACAACTCCATAATCTCCTGTAATAGAAAACAACACCATAATCTCCTGTAATAGAAAACAACACCATAATCTCCTGTAATAGAAAACAACACCATAATCTCCTGTAATAGAAAACAACACCATAATCTCCTGTAATAGAAAACAACAGCATAATCTCCTGTGATATAGAGTCTTACGTATTCGAGCCCGCCTCCATTTAGTTGCAAGCATTTTAGAATATGGTATAATCACCAACGTGGTATCACCACCATACCTGGTACAATCCCCAACTTGGTATGGTCAAAATAATAAGACATAATAAATCATGTGAAATGTAAGGTCCGTGCAAGAACCAAAAGACAAGAAAGTTGTCTTTTTTTTTTCTCTTTAAATGTCGTTACCATTATAAAAAAAAAAATTATCACCCTTATAAGTGCAACTCTATCTCTGATGGTGTATTCGTAAAATGATTGTCTGCTACACGTTGAGAACCGAGTTCGAAATAAAAATTATTTATATCTACCTTGAAAACATTCTGTCCGTAAATATTGTGAATGAATCTTACACAATGACCATTAATTACATTTCAACAATACGATTCTGTAGTATAATGTACGGCGTGAATCAAAGATCAACTAATGTTGAGGTATGTCGCAAAAGATGATACAATGTAAGATAAATATATTAAATTGGAAATAAGATAATATTAGAAAACGATATAATTACCCTTAAACGTAATTATTGGAATAAATCGTTTTGATCTACATTATTTTAAGATTAATATTTTTATAAGATTTGGAAGCTACCAAAAAAAACTCAAGGAGAACTCACGTGTGAACCGGAAGAAGTCCGCGATGAGCTGGCCATGAGTGTACCAGAAATCTGGCAGGAAGAATTTGTCAATCCAAGCTGACCACAGCCGGGCGTACGGATCTCTCACAAACATAAACCTAAAGTTGTGTACGAATAATAGGTAATCTTTTCATTCTTATTGTTATCTAGTCTAACCAAAAGCTAACCGCTAACCCTAACCCTAACCATACCGGCGCTAAGGATGTCGGTAGGCATGCGCAGTTCCAACATTAACATGTAAAATGATCAACTACTAAGCATTATTTTTAACGCTGAGTAATTTAAAAAAAAATAAAAAAATAATGTTTATTATGTTACCTTAGTTTCAAGGAAAGTAATTGAAATAATAGTTACATGGAAATATAATGCAATATTGGATATTTCGTTTTGATAAACATCATATTGATTTTCTATGATTATGAGCACGAGCATAAAATAAACCATCTATATTCACACATAGCTCGAGATTATTCACACACACCTATGATAACAGATATTGTTATTTAGTGGCGGGGAGATTCAAATTCACGTGTCCATCACAAACCACCACGCCAGGCCATCACATGCTTTCCCAGACCCGAACGGACGTACCTAATCATGTGACCCAAATATTTCGGCGGTTCCTTGTCGTGCCATATGACGTCGTCTTTCGAAGCATTGCCGTAGTGGGTTATCAAGCGTGGAATGTCCATCGGGCTCCTGAAGACTTTCCCTCCGGTCTCGTTCTTGATAAACCGGATGACGTTAATCCAAAATGTGCAGCCAACCTGCGTAGACAGACATTATTTCCCCTTATATTGGGCTGCACTACCTACGCATCACCCCATGCATGAGATAAGTTTACAGGTCAAAAAGATTTTTTTGGGTTAAAATTTGGTTTGAATTTTTTAACGACAAAAGCTGAACCGTTTTGTTTTAGATAAGCATATTTCGGAGACTAGCATTTTGTTAAAAAGTCGATGGATGAATAGGATTTTTCTCTCCTTTAATAGAAGATTAAATTTTGTAATTTCCTGCCCCTTCATCACCCTTCCATCATATTTCTCTGTCACTTCACCACCCATACATTATATTTCTCTAACCATTCACCACCCATCCATCATATTTCTCTGTCCATTCACCAACCATCCATCATATTTCTCTGTCCATTCACCAACCATCCATCATATTTCTCTGTCCATTCACCAACCATCCATCATATTTCTCTGTCCATTCACCACCCATCCATCATATTTCCCTGTCCATTCACCAACCATCCATCATATTTCTCTGTCCATTCACCAACCATCCATCATATTTCTCTGTCCATTCACCACCCATCCATCATATTTCTCTGTCCATTCACCAACCATCCATCATATTTCTCTGTCCATTCACCACCCATCCATCATATTTCTCTGTCCATTCACCAACCATCCATCATATTTCCCTGTCCATTCACCACCCATCCATCATATTTCCCTGTCCATTCACCAACCATCCATCATATTTCTCTGTCCATTCACCAACCATCCATCATATTTCTCTGTCCATTCACCACCCATCCATCATATTTCCCTGTCCATTCATCAACCATCCATCATATTTCTCTGTCCATTCACAGCGGGATATCTTATGCTATCTACAATGTAAAAAGGGGAGCAGGGCAGTGTGACACTGTATGGTTACTGGAACTCATTTTAAAAGGGGGAGCAGGGCAGTGTGACACTGTATGGTTACTGGAACTCATTGTAAAAAGGGGAGCAGGGCAGTGTGACACTGTATGGTTACTGGAACTCATTGTAAAAAGGGGAGCAGGGCAGTGTGACACTGTATGGTTACTGGAACTCATTGTAAAAAGGAGGAGCAGGGCAGTGTGACACTGTGTGGTTACTGGAACTCATTGTAAAAAGGGGGAGCAGGGCAGTGTGACACTGTATGGTTACTGGAACTCATTGTAAAAAAGGGGAGCAGGGCAGTGTGACACTGTGTGGTTACTGGAACTCATTGTAAAAAAGGGGAGCAGGGCAGTGTGACACTGTATGGTTACTGGAACTCATTGTAAAAGGGGAGCAGGGCAGTGTGACACTGTATGGTTACTGGAACTCATTGTAAAAGGGGGAGCAGGGCAGGGTGACACTGTATGGTTACTGGAACTCTTGGGAAAAGGGGGAGCAGGGAAGTGTGACACTGGATGGTTACTGGAACTCATTGTAAAAAGGGGAGCAGGGCAGTGTGACACTGTGTGGTTACTGGAACTCATTGTAAAAGGGGGAGCAGGGCAGTGTGACACTGTATGGTTACTGGAACTCATTGTAAAAGGGGGAGCAGGGCAGTGTGACACTGTATGGTTACTGGAACTCATTGTAAAAAAAAAAAAGGTATAGTTTTAAAACTATTTTCTTTTTATAACTGTGTGTCCTTAAATTTTTTTTTTTGTAATATCAAACAGTCAAAAAAAATCTACAAAGTACAATTTTTATTTGCTTGGACAATTGCGGTCATCGTAAAACATAAACCCTGGCTCGCTTGTGACCCCGTTTTTTAAAAAAATCAATCCAGGCACTTAAGCCACCAACCCCACCCGCCATCTCAATTAAAAAACAAAAATTGAAACAAATAAAAAAAAAATAATAATAAAAAAGAAAATGTATAAACAGTATAAGAACTTTAAATCCCAATAGAAATTAAGTTGTCGAAAGTTGACTCAAACCACTACCAGTAACATGTATAAGGATCAACTTTAAGAAGAGTTCAGAGGGGGGGGGGGCAGTAAAGTCATCGGATACTCAGTACCAACGTTGTCAGAAGAGTGAAGTATCTGAGTACTAGGATACTCAAAAAAAAAAAAAAAAAAAAAAAAAATGTACGGTTTGTTGTGGATGAAGGGAAGAAGAGTCTCGAGACAACGAGAGGAACGAGATGTTCAAGGAATTGGTACCTAACCATTTTGTGTTGGCTATTGGGCTATGACATTGGGTAAAATAGACATTGAATTTTGACATTGGGTAAAATGGCTATTGAGCTTTGACATTGGGTAAAATGGCTATTGGGCTTTGACATTTGGTAAAATGGATTTTTGATCTTTGACATTGGGTACATTGACTGTCAACCTCTAGCATCGGGTACAGTGACTATCAACCTCTAGCATTGGGTACGGTGGCTATAACATCAAACCTTAGGCACGATGCAATTGGCGATTCTGTGTTTCGTGTCAAAAATCACTCTCCCGGCTTTCCCGCCAAAACTCTGAAAGCAAAAGTCATTGGCTCGTTTCAACCGCTGTGTAAACACGGGCGAGTCGACTGTCAAGGGGGGGACAGCTTCCAGGTCAGAACCGTCACTGCTGGAAGAAAGCAATCGGGCTGACGCGATGTCTTCTTTCATTATAAGTCGGAATGTCTTGAAATCACCTGTTGGGTTAAAAAATAATAATTTAAAACTAAAAATGATATTCAGGTATTGATCTGATCAAGTGGTCTGCCAAATAATTAGTCAAAAGAGCAAACAATTAGCAGCAGTAACCTGTCAGGAACCATGTTTTTGCGGAGTCGAAACTGATTTGTCGAGCCGCATCAAGGTCGTTAAAGAAACGCGATTTGCCAACCACTGATCTAATCGATTCGGTGAGAAGTGAAACTCCTTATGCAGTGGGCGGGTGTAGAGAAAAGAAATGAGAGAGAAAAATATTGAGGTAAAGTGAGGGAGAGAGAGAGAGAGAGAAACAAGGAGAACGAGGGAAATAGATAGATAGATAGATAGATGGATAGAGAGATAGATGGATAGATTAGATAGATGGATAGGTTAGATAGATGGATAGATTAGATAGATGGATAGATTAGATAGATGGATAGATTAGATAGATGGATAGATAGATAGATGGATAGATAGATAGATGGATAGATGGATAGATGGATAGATGGATAGATGGATAGATGGATAGATAGATAGAATCTATCTATCTATCTATCTATCTATCTATCTATCTATCTATCTATCTAAGATAGATAGATAGATAGATAGATAGATAGATAGATAGATAGATAGATAGATAGATAGATAGATAGATCGATGGGGAGAGAGAGACGACAGAAACAGGGAGAGAGAGAGAGAGAGAGGAATATAAAACTTTCCAATTTATTAAGATACTTGAATGTCAAGGTCATGCAGAAGGTCTCAATTTTCAAGTGTCTCAGAACGAGAAGTGTCTAAAATTGTGTCGTTTACTCATCTAATTTCCACCTCACATGTAAGTTGTTTTTTTTCAAGCTTGATATAAGCGTTTATTGAAATCATGGGGCCGATTCGTGTGATATGTTATGAGACGTGCGCCCAGTTTAAAAAAAAAAATGTATATTGACATCCTTGACCTGTGACACCATTAATAATAGCTTAATCAATCGAATACTCGATTTTCTGATTTCAAATTTTATTTTAAAAATGTGTAATTAAGGGGAGATCATCATAAAACTATCCATGTTTTAAAAACATAATATTTTAATTACGTCCCTTAAAATAAAACTTTTCTATACTCGGCACACCTTTTGGAATTATTTGACTAGTTTCGAAACCCCTTACGAGGTGTTTCACTAAGTCACGCCCCCCCTCCCCCCACCCTCCGCCCGAAACCAAAGTACCCTTTCATTAAAATGTATGCAGCAGTTATAAAATAAATAGAAATCTCATAGTTTAAAGGTAAATCTTCATAAATTAAAAAAAAAAATTAAACCATAAATTAAATGCTAATTTTGTCCCCGTTCCAATGATTCCCTTTCCTTCCAACCGGCTGGCGATGCGAGTGCCCCAGGTTTGTAAAACCCGGACTAACTGACTGTGATGTTGAAAGAGATTGACAACACTCGGGCGCAACATATCATGTTATAAAAACAAAATTGTTTAGAACATTTTTAAAAAAAAAGTCTTACAACTTCAAAACATTTACTTTTTACCTGTAAAAAACAATTACTTTGTTTTTATCCTCAAACCACGCAAATACCTGTCTAAGATCGACCAATTTTTTTTTTCTTTGTTTGTTTGTTTGTTTGTTTTTTTTTGTTGTTTGTTTGTTTGGAATCGTTGTGAAACTATAACCCCGTGTTGAGAACCGCTTCGATAGCAGCCGTATTTAGTGCAACAGCTTTCACCCTTTCGCGTCTTCGGTATTTCTGTCATTTAAGTACGCGATAAATCCGTTGACACATTTATTCAGCTGCTGATAACTAGCATGACCTAGGGCCGTCGTACAGACCACTCGCGTCAGTTGAAACCAGATGGTGACGCTTTGGGTCTGGGGAGTCCGTGGAGGCTGTGCCCTCGTGGAGGTTGTGCCCTCGTGGAGGCTGTGCCCTCGTGACGAAGCAAAAACTATTTCAATGGATAACTTTTTTTTAAATATATATATTTTTTTTAAATTTTATTTCAAGCGCTTTAGCTGTGGATAGAAATGCACAAGTCGGAAAATATGTCCGCCTTTTCTCCTCCCGCATACAACTATATATGGATTCAGGCTATAGGACACACACAGGGGTTCTTTCTAGTTAATGTGAATATAGGAAAATAGAAGAAAATATTAATTTTGTAACATTTGAAAATTAGAGATTTCTCTGACTGAAAAGTTACAGAGATGGAAAAAAGAAAAAAAAAATTATTTTTTTTAAAAGCCATTTTAAATTTGAAGACGTTAAAACAAACTAACAGGAAATAAAATCAAATTCTGCCTACACCTTTCCGACTAATCGATTCCAATCAATTGATTCCGACTACTCTGTTCCGACTGATCTATTCTGTCTACTCTGTTCCGACTGCTCTATTCCGACTGATCTATTCTGACTACTCTATTCCGAATGCTCTATTCCGACTACTCTATGGTTCTGGTTCTGGTAATGTTTCGTTGCTGCATCCATGTACTGGCATCTTTGGGGATATGATGTCCCTATTCTAACAGCTCCTAGCTGATGCCAGGGCAGCTTTGAAGTTTCGACTGATGTCAAGTTTACAGTGGCATCGTTCAGGTTGTTCCATGCAATTATTGTGCGTGGGAAGAAAGATTGTTGATACTGCACTATGTTGCACTGAGGCACTTTGATGCATTTGCTATTGTTTCTGGTTTAATTGTTTATGGGAATGTCAGTGGTGAGGTTGATTTAATGAGCGTTTTGCTCTGATCAGTCTACCCGGCTTCTGGGGGCTAGGTACGTGCCTGCTGGGATGGCCGGCAACAGTCTATGCCGACTATTCTTTTACAAATACTCAATACAGACTGCTCATTTCTTGCACACCAATCCGACTCCACTATTCTAATTACACAAAGCCATCCGAGTATCATGACCGCATTAAAAAGGTTATAGATTAAGGTTTACATAAAAAGGCTATTGATTATGTAACAAGTACGAAGTAATTTTTTAATGCTGTAACGAGCGTGGCCAGTGTAATCGGTGACTGAATATTGACAGAGGAACGACCAGTCAATCATGTATCATCTGGTTTATAATGCGGGCTGGTGTTTGAGCTGTGCACTTAAAAACTATATCGCATCTAGTAAGAAATAAGTCAACTCTGGTCATAGAGATTGGCTCTTCTGTTCTCTTCTAAATGTGCGATTATCAAATAATAGTCTACATGACTTTAAATTATTTGGGTATATCGGTATCGGAATTCTAAGTTCAGAAGAAAAAAAATAATATAATAATTGTTTTAAAATGTTTGAGAACCTCGGTCATAAAACTTTCCTTCGATTGTCCAGAGCCCCCGCTGCCTACGGTTGTAAATTTAAGTTTTTTGTACATTGACAATCTGGACGTGTTGAGATAAGTTTTGTTCTCATTTATTCCTTAATCTCACATTTTACTTTAGTTAACCGAACATCTTACTAGGGACGCTTTTTTTCTATAGCTATCAATGTTCCATTAAAAATTTGTTCAGGTAATCGTATTCTCTTTTCATTAAATCCTTTATATTAACTTTGCTTTGGGGTGTTTACGGCTAACTGACCTACTTCCCGTCAACCTGTCGAGCCGAAACTTGGCACATAGACTCGATGCCTATGACAGCACAGTCTAAAAAGAATTTTAGTCTGTTTTTTTTCTCAACACACGGTAGACGCCATGAAAGTTTGATGATTTGTTAAAATACTATATTTAAAGGGGTTTCCCCCCCCCCCCCCCCCCCCCNTATCGCAAATATTTTCTTTAAACAACTTTTGATTATATTTGTTAAAATTGTGTTGACATATTTTAAGGAAAGAGTTTATATATATATATATATATATATATATATATATATATATATCAATCAAAGTTCGTAGACAATAATGAGTTTCTTAAAGCTTACATTTTAAACACTCTACCCATCATTTTTTACGGGTAACAGCTAGTAATTTTAGAAAATCTGAAGGTAAAAAAAAAGATGTTTTTTGTAGATAGTCTGGAAAATGATTTAAGATTAACCTGAACATATTTGGGGGGGGGGGCAATCTAACCAAATGATTTGAAAGACATGTAACATTATTATTAAGAGCATACAATTTATTTTCTCCCTTTCTTACCTCTTATCGTAGTCGACTTCGACGGACGAACAACAATCGTGGTCATCCAGCAGTACATTGCCGCAGCCAGAAAACACAAACCAGTCGTGGTTATAATCGGCTTCAGCCAGTGAAATCGCATCATCAGAATTTAAAATAGCCCTTCGCTATAATATAATATGTCTCTCCAAGAAATGAACGCTCCATAAAAGTTCTATAAGTTATGAACCATGTTATGGATTAATGCGAATGTCCAGCGAAAATTTAACTTTAAGACACTGAAGATGCGATCGTGTAATAGTCTCAATAAGATCATAAAAAAAAACAAATCTTAGTTAAAAAAAAAAGAAATTAAAATTACACTTTAAAAATATTTAGGATATATTCTCTAACTGTAAATAATTTAAAACTAGATCCTAAAGTCCACCATGAATTTGTTTCACTTTATGACGCATCACATGCATTGTTGTATGCTGGGTCGAGCTAGCACGTGCCATTATATAGATGACTCCGCATTGACAGGCCCGTAGCGTGAAGTCCAATCGGATCGATAGGCCTATTGAAAATTTACAAGGGGGGGCTTAAACAATTAGATCGATTAGTTACTTTGTCTTGAGACTATTTCTGTCTGACCTTTGTGCGACTATTTCTGTCTGATCTTTGTACGACTATTTCTGTCTGATCTTTGTGCGACTATTTCTGTCTGATCTTTGAGTGACCATTTCTGTCTGACCTTTGTACGACTATTTCTGTCTGACCTTTGTGCGACCATTTCTCTCTGACCTTTGTGCGACTATTTCTGTCTGATTTTTGTGCGACCATTTCTGTCTGATCTTTGTGCGACCATTTCTGTCTGATCTTTGTGCGACCATTTCTGTCTGATCTTTGTGCGACTATTTCCGTCTCACCTTTGCGCGACCATTTCTGTCTGATCAGTGTTTGACTATTTCTGTCTAAACACTGTGCGACTATTTCTGTCTGACCGTTAGTTGTGTTACCCTATTATTCCCCGTCGTTGTGTGTGATACCTTAACATTTTGTGTATGATACACTCTCCTGCCATTTTGTTTATGATACCCTGTCATTTTTTGTGAAACAAGCAATTTTGTGTACAATACGTGCAGGTCATTTTTGTGGGTCATACCCTGTCTTTTTTGTGTTATACCATTTAGCTTTTGTGTAATATCCTATCATTTTTTGTGAGATACCCTAATATTTTGTGTGTGTCACACCATGTAATTTTTGTGTGTGATACCCTGTCATTTTGTTTGATCCATTCTCATTTTTGTGTGATAACCGAAAATTTTTTGTGTTATACCCTATCATTTTTTTAATGATACCCTGTTATTTTGTGGGATACTTGTCTTTTTTTTTTGTGATACCCTGTCATTTTGTATGATACCCAATCATTTTGTGTGATACCCTGTTATTTTGTGTGATACCCTGTCATTTTGTGTGTGATAGTTAACCTGTTAATTTTTTTTAATAAGAATCTATTTGGATCTCCTCTAGGAAACTACATTTCAGCTAAGTGTTATTTTTATTCTGTCTCTACCATGTTGTTTGTTCGCCGACGAAGGCTTCTCGCCGACACGTTCGTTGTTTTTTTTTTTGCTTTCCTATTTTGAGATTTTCCCCATGCCCTTCTCCGCTCAGTTCCGTTATGTTGTATGGCAGGCTAAGATGTCGTGTCGACGTAAATGTATAATGTACTGTCGAGCCATCGCTCGATAACCAATAAAATATAATAAATCATGTCACTTTGGGCCGTTTGCTATTTTTGAAACCTCTGTATAACGTGTCTGTGTGGGTTGCGTAAGTGGCCCGTGCGGCTGACAGTGTCCGCAAAGTTGGCTGTCAACAAGTGCATCCTGCTCGAAGGCTGGACGTACGCACCGTCTTGAAAATGTCGAGGCGTGGCAAATTGAGGAGAAGCGAAGACCACAAGAAACCAGGCAGCCCATCGTTGGAGGATGACTTTTCTTTCCTGCCTCATATAACACAGTACAGGACCCGTGAGTCCCGAATCGGGCCTTAAGGCCACCACGGGGCTTCTTCTTCATGGTCTGTGTGTCGTCAGCTTGGCGAAGTGTTTCAAAGGTTGTTATAAAAATAATAATAAGAAGAAATAAGACCTCAAAATTGTTTTTTTAAAGAAGGAATTTCATCTATTTACATTTGACTTAGAAAGAATGCCAAGTAAAAGAGGAGTGAAGAGGGCGCACCACCATAACCCCCAGACGAAAACGGCTCAAAGGCGGACCTAGTCTTAGATGGGTGGATGATGTGGAGATGGTTCGACAGCATGTAGGAATACAAAGCTCGGGAAAACTAAAAACATCAGTTAGAGATGAGTGGAAAGATGTGGTGAGGCAGGCCAAAGCCCCGTACACATGACCTGTTTGCGCCACATGGATGGATGGATACATGGATGGATGGATGACGGTTTCTCGATCCTTACTCTGAAATGTATTTGTCGTTTAGACGAGGTCGCTACCTGCTCAGGTCCAGTTTGATGGGTATGACGGCCACGCAGTTTCTGTCAATGGTCGGGTGTTGACGAGTAACGTATTCTAACAGCATCCCAATTTCCATTCGTCTACAAGGCAAACTACAGGAGGTCCCCAATTTACGGCGGTGCTTCCCGTTTATCAATGACGACGTAAATTGAACTTACTAAGCACCCAACCGATATGTAAATTACAATGTGTGTATGTATATATCTATATATATTTATTTATTTATATGCCGTAAAGGAAATTCTGAAAAATGACATCCTCATGTACAGAACATTTTAAATTCATATTCCCATTTAATCATAAAAAGTCACTCTTGTTTAATGGATGTATCAAAACGGGCTAGCCCCCTGATCACAAGCCTTCTACTTTTAAATCAATTTATTTTTTCAACGATCATTTTCTCCACGTGAATTCAACCTTAAATATGCGTCAAACCCGAGTCATTCTCTCTGTTTCTTTGTTTGGAGCACCTAAACTCAGCAGTGTGTTCGACTTGTTTTGTTGACTCTCTCTAATGGAACTGCCAAGGGTTCTTTACTTTCAATTAACGCTACCAATTTGAACAACATTTAACATTAAACACACAAGACAAAGAAAGCATGCTGTCACGTGGGTAGTTAACTTAACTTGCCCCAATCCCCACTATCCCCCCCCCCCCACACACCACTTTCTCTTACTTTGAACAACATTTAACATTAAACACACAAGACAAAGAAAGCATGCTGTCACGTGGGTAGTTAACTTAACTTGCCCCAATCCCCACTCTCCCCCCCCCCCCACACACCACTCTCTGTTACCGATGACTTTAGGTTTGCGCCTCAAGTCAACATCTATAAATAGCACCAAAAAAAAAATCCAATTATAAATTTAAATAGTCACAAAAAAAGTCACTGGATTGAACCAGCGATGTATCCAAAATTTTTAAAAATTTTGTATGATTTAACACATGCAATCATTTATTCATGCATTGACATATCAATCAATTCATGTATCCATAGTTAAACACATTCAAATTCAATCATATCTTTTTTTCCATACATTAGCCTATCCAAATATTTATCAATAAATTGACAAAGTCAACAACGATATTGACAGTTCCTATTATTTTCCACCCATCACTGTATCCAATCAAACATCAATAAATCAGAGAGCCGATCATTAATCCATACATGTACATAACATCATCTACTGGACGGCCTGCAACTAGTACACAAAGGTGGCCGGCAAGTTTCGTCCAGTGGGCGTGTGTCGCAGTGCAGGAGCACCCAGGGTATTTGGCTCCAGTGGGCGTGTGTCGCAGTGCAGGAGCACCCAGGGCATTTGGCTTTGCTCATAGATTCTCATACATCCAGCCTGTATGCGTCAAACGATTCACACGTCAACTACTCTTTGTAGAAAACATCGCTTGATGAAATGTCAAGCTGTTCAAAGATCATACGATCAGTTCAGTTGCTAGCTGAACAAATTTTATACTGAATGTACTAAATGTGTACCATGATCTGAAAACAACATGCATGAATTACACTTCAGTCGTATCTTAAAAGCAAAACCCACACAATTTTTATGCACTGAAAGTAGACACGAACACTCTTCGGCGAGCGACTATGTGGCCGATGTGAAATATGGGTTGAGAGTCCCTGCTATCTGGCGGATCTATCCTCAAAGAGATATGCCGGATGTTCGTCGTAGCCAAACATTTCGAAATCAGAGGCGTACAGCTTTCGCAACTTTTCCATAATGTCTGACGGCACGCCCCTGTAATTAGCCACCAGGGCGGCCCTTTTCTGCTCCCTCATCCCAGTTTTACCCGTCGCATTCCAGGCCCGATACGTCTCGTGGCATGCGTCCAGAAACTCCTGCTCCGTAGTGTTTCCTCCTTGGAGGAACTGTGAGGGAATGCCCACATCAGCGGGCAGGTGACCGTTGTACTGGAAGGCCTTCCAGAGGCGTTGGTACAGCTCATTCGTGGGAAAACACGCCTGGGGAAGAGAAATGAGTGTAGCCAACATAATCTGAATGCATGGAGTGACTGACATTTCAAAAATTCAGTTTTATTAATAATTTTTAGAGCTTCTTCTTCTATATCTTAAGGGCCCACGATCAATTTATTGATCATTTTGGCTCCTATGCATGTAGATGGGATTTGCAATGTTTCTGTTACTGGTGGTGATGAGGAAATTATGCACTAGGGGTTTGAAGGCTTGAGGCAATAGACACAAATGTGTCTAGTGTTGTCGCCTCAACTGTTCCTTTTGAAAGATGGTTCCAGTCCCGGAATTATAACCTTTTTGGAGTTTAGAATTGACATGAACACGCTTATTTTAGAAACATTCAAAGATCAGCCATCAAAAGCTGATACAAATCAAGTAAGTTAATTGAGCCCAAGTCATAGCTGGGAGCAGCTGCCCGTAACAGCAGCCCGAAAAGCCTGTCGAAAATAACTGTCGGAAATATTTGTCGGTATGATTTATTAAAACCATTTTGTAATGATAAAAAAAATAATTATAAAAATAGTTTACATTTCTTGGCGTCGTTGAATTTTTTTTTTTCAAGAACTAGCGTGTATGACTGGCCCGAGTATCGAATAGTTCGGCATTTTTAAAGAGGAAAGGTGGACAAGAGGATAAGAGGAAAGGTGGACAAGAGGATAAGAGGAAAGGTGCACAAGAGGATAAGTGGATAAGAGGAACAGTGGAAAGAGAACAAGTGGACAAGAGGACTAGTGAACAAGAGGAAAAGTGGACTAGTGAACAAGAGGACAAGTGGACAAGAGGACAAGTGGACAAGAGGAAAAGTGGATAAGAGGACAAGTGGACAAGAGGACTAGTGAACAAGAGGAAAAGTGGACAAGAGGATAAGTGGACAAGAGGACAAGTGGACAAGAGGACTAGTGAACAAGAGGAGAAGTGGACTAGTGAACAAGAGGACAAGTGGACAAGAGGACAAGTGGACAAGAGGAAAAGTGGATAAGAGGACAAGTGGACAAGAGGATTAGTGAACAAGAGGAAAAGTGGACAAGAGGACTAGTGGACAAGAGGAAAAGTGGACAAGAGGAAAAGTGGACAAGAGGACAAGTCGATAAGAGGACAAGTGGAAAGAGAACAATTAGACAAGAGGAAAATGGACAAGAGGACAAGTGGAAAGGGAACAAGTAAACAACAGGACAAGTGAACAACAGGACAAGAGGACAATTGGACAAGTCGACAAGAGGAGGACAAGTGAACAGCAGACAAGAGGACTAGTGGACAAGTTGCAAGTGGACAAGAGGACAAGATGACAAAATGACAAATTGACAAGAGGGCCAGTGGACCAGTGGAAATGTGGACGAGTGGAAAAGAGGGCAAGTGGACCAGTGGACAAGTTGATCAGTGGAGAGTTTTCTAAAATGAACCAGGTACTTGTGTCAGATTTATTGATAATGTTTTATTGAAGTGGCCATACATATTCATGTTCGTGAAAACTTAACGGAACGCTTCACGGGAGAGGCATCCAATATTTGTTTGAATTTTATTTTGTTCTTTTTTGTCGTTCGTTTGCTGACGAAGGCTATCTGCCCTATGCCTAGGCTTATGCCTTTTTATTATGCCACTGCGTCTGAGTCTAAGACTGATTTGACCGAAGTATGTAAAATACCGGATAACCTACAGTCGGAAACTTTTACTACGCTACGGTACTTTCAACTTTTAGTCTTTTAATTTTAGTACTTAAACCCATAGGCATTTCTTTATCGTTCATTATGCTTTCAGTAGACCTACGTTTTACAGATCAGATAAGACTGTCTATATTTATATACTATTATACAACTTTATTGTATTGTAAAATTATAGTTTTAGTGCTATGACTATGACTATGATGATAACTAGTAACTATGTGTAGGGCGACACATTTAAATTAATTTTGCTCAGGCCTAATAAATGGTTGTCATTCTATGAGTGCGTCTGGGAGTAGGATCTGAACTTTCTAATCTCTCTGCCTCTATAACTTATAGGCCTGTATATATATTATATAGTCATAGCATAATTAATCATATAAATATAAAATAGGCCAATGTCAATGATGAGTCATAGAATGGTGCAATTGATTAATTGATGTATATGTAGACAGTATAGTGTATAACTTTGATTTTTTTTTAAAGCTTAGTTTCTAAATCAGAATAATTATTACAACTGGTTGACCCTGTTTTTGCAGTTTGTAAGCAAGAAACTGAATTGTTGTTGTAAAAGTCCTATCTTTAAAAAGTAGAAAATAAGTTAGGTAGGCCTATGCCCATATCCTTATTTATTTTCTTGTTTTAATTTTATTTTTTTCCAAAGCACCTATTTGTAAATATTTGTTGATAGACTTATTTAGGATAATTTTACAATTAAAAATCGCAACTACTAGTCTCAATGAGCCCATGCTTAAGCTTCTGGTAACGTGTTAATGTAAAAAAAAAACAACAAAAAAACACATATCTCTTGTAAATATATTGGTTTTGAAATGAATATAAATAATATTTATGGTTCTAAGATTTGACAAAGCAAACCAAATGAATATATATAATATTTATGGTTCTAAGATTTGACAAAGCAAACCAAATAAAGTCTGTTCTTAAAATTGCTGTTAAAAAAAAATTAATTAAGTTATAAAAATGCGAAAGAAATTGAATACTGCAGAAGTAAACAATGGTGAACGCCGAAATGAGGCGAAGTGATTATGTACTACAAGGACGTCATGAGCTTTTAAACTAACAGTGTTACGCACACGAAAGCTTGCACGTTTAAGTGGGATTGTTCATGGCTTTTGATATGCTATTAAGATATCGGATATTGTATCCCATACGGTAAGTACTTTGAATGTAACATAATTTTATGATTTTATTTGTATTTATTATTAATTTATTAACTACTTATTTTTTAGAATCATAAAGATAAATCTTATTCTTATCCTTAAGTTTAAGAAAGATCCCTTGCCCTTCTATAATTAAAAGAGGAAATATATTAATTATTATATTTAAATAGTTGTAGAGAATTATAGCTATAAATAATAGGACAATGACATTATAAAAAATAGGTGCCCCAACCATTTAGGTTGATCGCGACCAAAATAAAAACACTCGCTCATGCATGTTAAATATCCCCGTGTGTTAAGCTCAATCAAAATAGGGGATTTACTTGCGATGCCGTGGTGACCACTTCAATATGCTCTGTGATTCGGGTCAAGGACGACTATGAACATGAACTAACTACAACTAAAACTTGTAAAAAAAAGTGTTTGTGTGTGTGGGGGGGGGGGGATTTAAGGGTCAAGCCTGATGTCATCACACCAGAATACCTATAATTTAAGGGCCTGTGGATGTCCGTGGGTTGTCGGGGGGGGGGGTCTCTCGTTGTCTAGATTACTGTTTTTTGTATATACCTCTGTGGATTAGATTGCCTGCGTTTTGTGTCCCTTCTGGGTATATAGTACCAATATTTGGGCCCCCTTATTGTCTAGATAACATGAATTTTGGCCCCCTCATTGTCTAGATTAGATGTGCTGTGGACCCCTTGTTGTTTAGTAGATTACCTGAATTATGTACCCCCTCTGGAGCCATATCTCCAGGTTATAAGCAGTCAACAATGATATCTCCACCAGTGATCTGTCTCTCGCCTCCGCGCGTTGCTGTTCGGTTAAGTTGGTCGGCTGATCCCCGGTTGGATTTAAAACCCACGTCAAGTTGACTGCATCTAAGATAGCTCTGAAATGCACACACAGGTAAACGCAACAGTGTCACATGACGTCCAATTTAAAAAAGGGGGGGGGGGTTGTTCACTTGTCAGTGATGTAAACACATGATTATCAGAATTTTAGAAGAAAAAAAAAAATAATTTCATGCCTTTTTTTCCCGTAGTTAATTTAAACATTTTATATTTCCTTTAAAATTTAAAAGACGATTCGACAGTTTGATTATATGATCTCTTTAAAACCCACGTCAAGTTGACTGCATCTAAGATAGCTCGGAAATTCACACACAGGTAAAAGCAACAGTGTCACATGACGTCCAATTTAAAAAAGGGGGGGGGGTTGTTCACTTGTCAGTGATGTAAACACATGATTATCAGAATTTTAGAAGAAAAAAAAAAATAATTTCATGCCTTTTTTTCCCGTAGTTAATTTCAACATTTTATATTTCCTTTAAAATTTCAAAGACGATTCGACAGTTTGATTATATGATCTCTGATTATATGATCTCTGATTTGGTCTGAACTATCTTACAGTGGATCTCCGCGAAAATGCGATCACTAGGGACCATACAATTGGACATCTTTAAAACCAGGGTTTGGCAGTATCTTTACGAGACCCACCCACATGGCTTCCAGTGGGTCAGAATGTTCCCGAGACGCCCACCAACGGGCACAAGCAAGAGAAGCATTGATTTCGTGCCAAACAGTTTTGCGATATTTAAAGCTAACGTTTGAAATTATTTACTTTCAACTGCTAGATTGTTTTGTTTCGTTTTTAGCCCGAGCCCTGCCACCCATTTTTGACGGCTCTCGTTCCTTGGTGGGAATTTCTTTAAAAATTTCTAGGCTCCACGCCACGGTTGTATTATATTCGCTTCAAAGCATGACGCCATCGCTTAAAAATAGTTGTGTATTTCTTTAAATCTCGTACTTTGATCAAAATAAAAGTATGTTCAAATTGATATCCAAAATATTGGGAGTCACGCCGAGACCTCAATCCATCCTGATTCACGTTACGGCAGGGAGCCTTCTGGTCGGGTTCTACTGTACATTTCCGTGCGGTTGATAATATATATTTGACAACGCTAGCGATCAGTGGCTTACACTTTCACTGGATATAACTGAAATGTAGGGAAGTGTGTGGGAAAATAGAAGAACCTTGAAATAGCGCTGTCCTTGGAATATAATTTTTTTTTTCCTCCGCTCGACATGGAACGATTTAGAGTGTGACTATTGTGTGATTACTGTGCGACCAGAATTTTTCTAGAATGTGACCAGAGTGTGACTAAAATGTGACTAGAGTG